GGCTCACGCCAAGAAGCTGTCGCTTCCGCACTCCTTAGAGCTGTCAAATGATTTATAAGACTCGCACGATGCTGCGAGACACTAACCATAAGACTTTAGCAACCAGTCTGAATTTTTAATTGCTTCAAAGCAGTAATTGGAGGTCTTTGAATTAATACACATGTCCATCTTCAGACCCCGACATTCTGCACGGCACCTACCTATCGGACTGGAAGTAGCTCTTGTAGTAGTTCCGATGCGGCTTCATCAGCGGCATTGATAGCCGAGACCCTACAGCAAATTGGTGAGTATACGGTAGTATTACCTTTAAGCGGTAGAGTGGTGTGGTGTGAATTCGTAGGTGATTTAGATCAACTTGGATCCGATCTCGAAAGTTATTGTGTGGCTGCAGATCAACAACAACAACCACAACAGCACACTGCTGTGCCACATCGTGTGCATACGGAATACGCTGCACTACGTACCACGAATGGAATTGATCAGTCGTTACCGACCACTAACGGACACGCTAGCACCGCAGGATCGACGACTGGTACCGGTTCTGTCATGCAGAATGGAATACGCATCAGAGCAGGTGAGTCTGGAGAAGATCTGCAAGCGAAAGACTCAAAGGAATTTCCTAGTGATCAGCTTGGAATCGCCTTTAGTTCCTTTCTTGTTATTAGGCGCTAACTGACGTGGCGAGTGACTTTACCTAACAGGCGCACGGTCCACAAGTTAAACACGGGATCGAATCTTCTCCAGGCCAACCAAGCCTTCTTTCTGGGTGGGTTGGGTGGTCCATAGAGGGTACGCCCTGTGAATCGTGGACTAACAAATCATTCCATAGGCCAAGTCACATCGAAATCACGCCTTTAGCCAGAGGTGGAGCGCGTGGGGCATCCTAAACGATGCTTGATGTCGAACGCATTCTCCCTCATTGACAGCTTGTGTTTTTCTATATTTGCATAACCTTTATTAACGATAAATTCAAAATATGGGACCCGTTGTTGATTAAGCCTTGTAGATCGCGCTCTGCATCTGAGTATTATTGTGGGGACATTTGACTGCTGGTGTGGCTTACAGATTGGTCGAGGGATCTGTCCTATTTGTTCTCCAGAAAGTTTTCCTTGTGCCTATTAATTTCCGAAAACGCAACGCGCGAATAACGAATCTGTTTTCGCATGGTCACTGTGCCCTGTTTTTGTCTCGATTTTGTGCCAATTTAAGTTTTCTGGGGAGAGAGGTTCTTTTACGTTTATAAATAAGGGAACGTGGAAAATTTCAGAAAGTGCAACTCGTCCACCGCCACCGGCACGTCCGAAGCAGCACGATCACATCGGCTACACCGACGGCACCCTCGATTGCAGAAGCTCGAATGAGCATGGATCCATAATGGGTAGGTCAACTCTTTGAAGCTTATTAACAATTAATCGCCAATCATCAGTGAAAAAGAATGCACAATAATACTTAAGAACTAACTTACTCAATTAGAGTCATGTACAGTCTCTAATTCAATCACTAGTGACGGAAAGGCATGCATGGACGCGGACTGAAGTAAAAGGCTGGTCCTTCTTGCCCCAAGTTTTGAGTCGCGAATGTGCCAGCGCCTCTTTTGCCCGCCAGCCTTGCAGATTCAGCCACTTAATTCGCGAAGTAGATCGTTTCAGTCAACTAGTGGTGCCTGTGCTTTCAAGAATTCATCGTTTTGGTAGTTTGTTTCAGTAATTCTGTCTGCAAACAGTCTTGCTCGTTTGGCTGAAATGCATGTCCAGCGTGAAGAGCATCCTCATGGGGAGATGATAGTGATCGGGTAGTGAGGGCACCGGAACCTGTCTCCTTATTGTTGGATTTACCTCAAGGAGTCTTCGCGTTTGTTTCACGTAATCTACGGAAGAATGGCTATTGTTCACTGTCATATTTCGATCTGTTTGCTGAATGAAGGCAGGACAGAACCGGCACGTTTTTGCCTATCTGGTGTTTGAAACAGGTTGTTGACCTCTGAGGCGTTAAGTTGGTCATCGGACAGTGTCGCCGTCAACTTCGTCTTTTCAGGACTATGAGTCAACGTGATCGTTGACAAACAACTCGGAGAAGGCAAATGAATTTCGGGAATAACAATCACCTTTTTTCAAAACGCGTGCACTGCATGATGAAGCGTCAACCTGACAGACGGCATCTCACTCGTCATCATTTAATGAAAACTGGCTCGCTTCGTGATTTTCGCTGATTTACGATTCTTCTGTGGTGAAGTAGTCGCCTTGATGAGCTTGATATTCCGATCGGTTGGAAAGGACATTGTTGCGTATCGGTGACCGTGGGATGGAAGCGCACGTAACCTTAGAAGAACGCGTGAGCCTCCCAAGTGCCCCCTGGATGATTCCCTCGGAGCGATCATCGCGTTCGCGACAGAAACCTTCAGACAGTACCGTTTTCACTTTGGAACGGATGTTGTATGTTGGATGAAGGCTTGTGCTGTGTTTTCTCACATACACTAGCGACCTCTGAGTTTTTTTGGTTCCTCCAAAATCATGGACGTAGTGAGCGCACGGCTAACGTCCCTTTGTTTTTACTCGTATATTTCAGCCTGGTTCCGCTCAGAATAACTGCCTTTCATTGCCGAGATTGAAATGCCTGAGCAGCAAGTGATATTTTTCAATGGCGCTTTTTGAATGTGTCAAAATGAAATAATTTTCCCTTCTTTCAAGAAACACAATTACGAACTTGCTGAATCGATTTGTGAGAAACAATTTTTTTTCACTGGCAAAGGACGTGTTATGATCAATAGGGAAAACACGGTGAAAACTGGTCAGAGTACGTCGTATCCGCCAAATTTCGTGCACCCGATGCAGAAGAAATGATAATGGGGTTGTCTCAACAGCTCGGTTGGGTACAGCGCAAAACAGTTACACACAAAATTTGGGTTCTTCTTTGTGTTTACGATGTAAAAAGCGTTAGTCACCACATCGTTTCCATCAATGAACCTACGAATAATGAAATCCGTCGACGCCTATCAAGATTTGGGTAGTTCTACCCGGAGCTGCAGCACTGTGAGTTTGGTTTCGGTTCGCGACCTACCGCATTTTGAAAAGATTGCACAAGATCCCGTGTTGCCCGCTTTATGATCCACTAGGTGAAAGGACTCTTTAGCAGCTTGAGCACCTAAGGACATGTTTCAATGACATACGTTTTAAATGAAATATTTTTCTTTGGGGGGGGGGGGTGGGGAAGTGATGAGCGGGCAGGTGACGCGAGTTTTCACTGGCACGGTCTGAGGACCAAATTGTGGATCGAATTTTCTCGGTCTCACCAAGTTCTGCACCAACGTGATGATTAATTGGTATCCATTCTCCTATGGGCAAGGTGAAAACTTTGACGTTTACATCGACTCGCGTTACAGTTATTGTCTATGTCAAATACATGAAATCGCATACCATTACGATTTTGAATGAAATAACGTCAAGCATGCGTGGCGTATCCAAAAGGCGACGACAGCGAGGAATAGTTCTTTATGACTTGCTGTTATTATGGCTAACAGGAAGTGAAGCTCAGAAAGCTATGATAACAGCGAGCCACATTAGTGAATGGCACCGTGTCTAATGCGGCCATAACTCGGCTCTACTCGCTGGTCGGTTGCCCTAACTGGGTTATGGGTTATGTTGTGTAGTTGAGTAGAAATCGTTGGAGATCGCAGTTTTTGTTCTCACATGGCCCATCTATTCATTTTGTTTACAAAGTTTTTTTTCTCTTACTGCTAACCGTTGACGACAGCTTGACGCGCATGCGCATGAGATTTCCACACGGATGGGACGTTCTGCTCGGTTTATTTGGCATTTTTCATGTTCCAAAGTTTTCCGTCGGGGTTTTCGGATCCTAGAAATGGTATATCCATTGCCAGTGAAGGCTTATTGAAGGGTTGATGGAGATTTCAAAAAAAATCTTCCGAAAAATCTCAATGCACAAGCACAACGGGCTGTAGTCAGTGTGTTGAAGAATTTTAGCCCTTGGCTGTCTAACTATGCTTTTTAATAGAAGCTTCGCATCTCGGTTTGATTTTTATGATTTTTAACTGCCAATCGTGATTTCAGGAAGTAGGCAATCGTTGAACTCGTCCGGATACTATTGTCCGATAGGTTCGAATCAGGATCTTCGATATACGAACGTGAATCCATTCACTCGACCGGCTCCGAATTACAAAATTTGAAGGGCTGCTGCGCACTGCTCGAGTTACTGTACGTTCTTGACTAGGTATAAGCAAGTTCTTCCAGTAGCAGTGGCCCTTCGGCTTGTGGAATGTTACATTTTATATGCGCATCTGTTATCGATTATGTACAACAGT